GGGATGTCACCAGGTAACTCTACAGCTTAGTACAGCCTTTGGACTATTACCCACTCCTGATCTTTCATGTGGGTACTAATGATTTTGCAACCAGAAGTGCAAGGTTTATCAAAAGAGGTTTCAGGGCCCTGGGAAGATGGCTAAAAGGTTCAGAAGCACAGGTAGTGCTATTCTCAGCCCTCCCAGTAATGGGGAGACTTCAGAGGAACAGGTGAGCCCAAGACATCAATACCTGGCACCAGGACTGGTGCCTCTACCAGAGCTTTGGTTTTTATCATCACAGAAGAGTGAAATACAAGATAGTTAGGGCCTGTTGGGATCCACCTGTCCCCTTGAGGATAATGTGCCTTTGCTCGTAAGGTGGCAGGACTAATTGAAAGGGCTTTAAACTGACACATCTGTGGCTGCAGAGAATTTGGTGTGGATTTAATACCCAAGTCTCACCTGTGCTCTTAGTGGTTCTTCATCCCAGCTTGAGGTCTGTTTCCAACAACACACAGAGTACAGTTTCAGATGAGGTGTGCTTGCTGCAGCTGCCCCATCACCCCCTCCATTCCTAAAAGATTCTTATGACTCCTCAGTGTGTCCCACTGGAGCTGAAGGGGTGGGAAGATGCAAGAAAGAAACAAATTTCTGAGTTTCAATAAACTGACTTGAGTTTGTCACAGTTATGAGGGTTTTGAAATGTTTTTTACTACTGCCTAATCTGTCAGTAGCAACAGCACTTTCAAACTTTGAAGTTAATGCCAGGCATGTATGTCCACATTGACATTTATATGCTGAAACAAAGAGTAAATTTGCATTTTAAATTGATTTGCAGGGATCATTTTAGGTATGAACTGAAACTAGTAACCAATAATTTGTACTAAGTGGCAAAATTAATGGAAATCTTTGGTCTCTACAGAGTGCAGGAAAGTCTTAGCTGTGCATTGAATAGAATGTGTAAGTTTCTGCTGTAAAATACAGGACTTCTGAAGATGTCAAGAAAATACATGGTCAAGAAATTCAAGGTGGTTTTCCCCTAAAAAACTAGAAACCAAATAAATGAGTAGAAAAGGATTTCTTCTTTTTGTTCTGTGTACAGCAGTGTATCAGTCCCCTGTGCTCACATAAGCCAATGCAAAGGATAAACAACTGTATGTAAGGTAACTTGGCAGTACTTGATATCACAACTGAAGTAAATGAGAAGTCAGTCGAGTATTTTTAGTAACAAAATTGAACTGGAACATCTATGGTAGTCCTTCAGAGTTTAGCCTCAGGCTGAACATGCATGCGGTTGTTACGAGGTTTGAAATCTCAGCTTGTTAGACTTCAATTAAGAAAAATATTCAGAGGGATCATTACTGTAACCAGTGGAGGATTGCAGTGGAATGAGGTTTGAGGCACGTATATCTGCATCACAACTGTGGGAACAGCAACTGACAGCACTAGCAAGCAAGTTAATACAGGTGATGTTTGCCAAGCTGGGCTGTGGTAGAAGTCATAGAATCATATGGGGTTGGAAGGGACCTCTGGAGATCATCTAGTCCAACCCCCTGCCAGAGGGGGTCTACCTATAGCAGGTTGCACATCAACTTGTCCAGGTGGGTTTTGAATGTCTCCAGAGAAGGAGATTCCACCACTTCTCTGGGCAGCCTGTTCCAGTTCTCCACTCTCACAGTAAAGAAGTTCCTCCTCATGTTTAGGTAGAACTTCTTATACTCAAGTTTGTGCCCATTTCCTCTTGTCCTGTCACTGGGCTCCACTGAGAAAAGACCAGCCCTGTCCTTCTGACACCCTCCCTTTAAGTATTTGTACACATTAATTAGATCTCCCCTAAGCCTTCTCTTCTCAAGACTGAAAAGAGCCAGGTCCATCAGCCTCTCCTCGTAGCAGAGATGCTCCAGGCCCTTAATCATCTTTGTGGCATTTGTGCATGTATGGAACTTGCTGAAGCACTGGGACTCTGTAGTAGTCTATCTTAGTGAGGAGCTCCTTTCCCTCCTCCTGAGAGAAACAACTGAATGCTCTGAGTATCCATCTTGATCTGATTGCAATATGTGTAGTAAGACAGGACATTTTAAGTAGATGAATAGAATTTTTGACAGGTTTGAAAAGACGTTAAATTTGTTCTGGAAGATATTGAACAGACTATAAAGCAAAACATACGGAAAGCACATCTGTTACGTGCTCTGTCTATGAATAGAAAACTCAGATGAGTTCCTGGGAATTTTAGGCAAAACAGTGGTTGCTCCTCACCCACTTAGGAAATGGGTGACAATGAAATACCCAAAGCTTGGAGATGATGGGTACTATGCAACAGTTTGCCTCCTTCTGGCCTATTAAACTGTTTGAAAGGAGTTTGGCTGTTGAATGCAAATAGAGGATGTGCAGGGTAACACAGCAAGGAAAAGTGGCATTACCATGTACTACTAATACTCCTGTAGGAGTGTAGGTCAGTGTCAGGTTCATTGTTTTTTATATTATCCCTTCTCTGATTTCTCTGTTCCCCTTGTTATGGAGGGTACAATGAGCAAGATTATTGATGTTTTGGGAATGACAGAATGTAAGACAGCTGGTTTCTCTCAGAAACAATGTGGATGACCAGCTTTTCTTTGTTGCCAGTCAGAAGTCATCCTACTGGGTTCAACTGTTGTTATTTATAGGCTTGTTTTGGCAGATCCTAATGTACTTCTGGATCCTGTTGTAGCTATGACTGCAGAAACAGTTACTTCCATGCAAGTGTGCAGTAGTGGGGCAAATAGTAGTGAGCTCTAACATATGCTGTAAGGTCTGGACCACCACTTAGCTGGTTGGTTGCCAATTAATGGATTTGGCTATACATATCTCTCTTTTGTATGGGTCTATGAGCTGAGCTTTCATTAAAGAAAAGCCTGTCTTCCACTAACAGAGACACTAACGTTTCTGTATTAGTTGTGGTTAGAGCAGTATTTCATCAGGGTAAGTGAAGTAAGAATCGACTTGCATATGTCCCTGTGGAGGTCTATGCGTTGCAGAGGTCCTCAGGGAGTTCTGTCATACCATCCATCTCTTAGCAGCCCCAGGGAGCTGAGTACGTGGTATTCACAGGTTTCCATGGGTTTAATAGCATGGCTTGTAGACAATTACTTCAACAAGATGAATGAGGTACTGGCCAGGTCTAACAGTGCATTTAAAAGCATATGATTAAGGGTTCTGATAGACACACTGTAAGCCTGAAGTGGTGTTTAGTCTTGTAGAAGTCAGTAGAACCATCCTCTGTTTGGATTCCAGTATGTGTCCAAAGTGCTCTGCTTCTTTGGGTCTCATGGTGGCACAAGATTGAGAACCAATGTCCTAAAACAAGTCCTTAGACAGCAGCACCTTGGATTTAATAAAATAGATTATTTTTTCATTGGTGAGTATTTTCAGTGAGAGAAAAAGCAAGCTTTTTTAAAAGAAAAAATCAGAATAAAGGATTAAAAAGACGTCTCAGCTGTTAGCCTCATTGTTAGCTGGTTAGAGGAACATGTCATTTCACTTGATGCAACATTTTTTTCCTGTTATTTATCATGGATTATTATTTTGCTCTTGCTCATGGATAACTGAGCCTTTTCCATGCTGTAATCAGTCTGATCGTGCCACAAATACATGGTTTAAGTTCCATAAATTGGCAGTAGTAACAAGTAGGACATACTGATGAATGAACTTGTATTTTAGTGTTTAATCTTATTGTAAAGAATTGTGGGTAAAGTTGCTTTCTTCTGATATTTAGAAGAAAATGTATGAGCAGAGATATTTCTGCTTATATTAGTTTGTATATGATTTTGCATGTAGTGTTAAGCTAAAATTCTGTAGATGTGAGAAGTGTGTAAAGTCAGAAGTATAAATGATCATGTCTCAAATACCGAATGACATCCAGACAAAAAACTGCATTACAAGTAATGTAATTTCTGTGTTGGTAATAAAAAAAAGTCATCCTATCTTTGTCAGATGAGGGTATGATGATGAACTAGGAGCTGTAAACTCTGTCTCTGTAGCGCTTAATTGCACATTGTGAAGCATCATAGTCCACAGATGGTTACTAATCCTTGAAATGTAGCCAGATTAGAAAACCTGACAAGAACAAGTAGAGCTTTAGTAGAGAAAAAGACATGGAGTTACATTTCCAACAGCAGTATATGCTCAGTTGTTTCTCTTCCCGTTGAAGATGTGAGAGATCGTTCCTTTTCATGCAGGGTGGTAAAAAGTGGCTTGGTCTCCAGGCTGGCAGGGTTATGTGGCTCACACAGGTCTTGCATTTTCTCAGTCTGGTACCGGCTCTAGGCTGCTCTCCTCAGAATCTTTACATAAATTATCACCCCTACCTGTGACAAGGAGGACAATGGATGCAGCAGACCTTGGGTTTGACCTCAGTGACATTTTCGTATTTGAACCTTATCTACTGTTTAATGTTTCCCTTTCAGATTAATTTCTGGCTAAATCTGGCTAGTACTTCCAGCTCCCCGTGATCCTCTAGTTCTTTCTGTGGTTCAATAACCATTGTTAACCCCTGCAAACTGAGATCTGGAGAAGAGTTGTAAGATGAAATTGTGAGGATCTTTTGGAAACTTTGGCTCTTTTCTTCTGCAAACACATGCATGAGTCTCATTAGGACATTAATGGTAACATTGTTTCTGTGTGGACTTTGCAAAGTGGGAGGCTTAATTAACATATTAATGGTAACATTGTTTCTGTGTGGACTTAGCAAAGTGGGCTATTAAGAAAATGGTAAGGAAGTCCATATGTACAAGAAATAAATTGCAGAAGAGTTTCCAGTATTACTCACCTTCCCACAGTCAATATACACTCATGTGGTTGCCCTTTATTGATGGTTTTACCCTTTCCTTTAGGTTGAATTTCTCCTGAATAAATTGTAATAATCTTAGGAAACACTGTGTATGACTGTATGTAATCTGTATATTCTTCCCTCTTTATCATCCATCTGGTCTTTCCCAGTACTTAAGAACATGTGTTTTCAACCTATGTTGTTCTTTGTTTAGGTTCCAGGACCAAGGAAGGAGTTGTTCATGGTGTCACAACAGGTAAGCCAATTATCTCTAAATTTCCACTACTTCCCTGTGTTCGATTAACCAACCACTTAGCTGTTAAAAATTCTATATTTTTTGAGAGCACTCAAATTTGAGTAACAGAAAAACATAGAAAAATAGAGAAGCAGATACACTGTTTTAAAATCAAATATGTAAATTTAATATAGTTGTTTCTATGTGAGAAGGGTTTTTTTGAGGGATGTTCTGAATCAAAGACAAGTTGTACTATATGAGCCAGGAAACTAACCAAACCAGATTCCTAAATGGAAGGCAGTAACTTGCGTTTTTAGAAATAGATAAGTCAAGGGTCTTTCTGTTGTTTGATAGTTACTGAAGGTGAAATATTTTCTGCTGGAAAGCTATAAACCAGTTGGCTAAAAATGTGAAGTCCTTCTGAATTTTATTTTACTTTTTTGCTATGAAGAAATTCAACTCATAGAAACTGAAAGCCTGGATTGGGTGTCCAGGTTTGTCTCCTTGAGATCTGAGAAGGCACAAAAGTGGAGCGGAGAAGAGGAATGCCACTGGAGGATGACTGTGGAAGGGAAAATGTGGAGGGACTTAGGCATATGTCAGGAGGACTTTAATTGCTGATTTAGGAGCTCATAGTCGGACAAGATTGATGCGAGTGGACACAGCAGGAATTATTGCAACAAATGAAGGAGGAAAAATAATGTAGAACTCCTTCAAACAGTAGGGACTGTAAGAGCTACGTAGAAGGGAAGAACCCCAGGGAGTGTTTGCTGTTAAGGCAGACAAAGTCAGCAGCATTTCCATGCTTAAGTCTTTTAGACTATTCACAGTGAAGCTGGGATGCAATGTGGAGTTTGACCTCTGCAGTTGCTAAGTCAGCCCCACCACACAATCACTGCTGTTAATTGCAGCCTGTGTGGTTATACCCAGCCTCTGGGAATGGTAGATGAAGGGCATGATGGGATAGAGAAGGAGAAACCTGTGTAAACACCCTCGTGAAGGGCACATCAACCAACCCCTCACAGCAAGAGCTGCTTTGAGATCGATGGTGAGAAGAAACAACAGCAAGTTATGGTCATTGTGACTCCCTTTTGAGCAGAATGGAGGCACCCCTTGGCAGACCAGACAATCTTTTCAGGGAAGTTTGCTGCCTCTCTGGGGCTTCAGTCAGGGATGTCACCAGGTAACTCTACAGCTTAGTACAGCCTTTGGACTATTACCCACTCCTGATCTTTCATGTGGGTACTAATGATTTTGCAACCAGAAGTGCAAGGTTTATCAAAAGAGGTTTCAGGGCCCTGGGAAGATGGCTAAAAGGTTCAGAAGCACAGGTAGTGCTATTCTCAGCCCTCCCAGTAATGGGGAGACTTCAGAGGAACAGGTGAGCCCAAGACATCAATACCTGGCACCAGGACTGGTGCCTCTACCAGAGCTTTGGTTTTTATCATCACAGAAGAGTGAAATACAAGATAGTTAGGGCCTGTTGGGATCCACCTGTCCCCTTGAGGATAATGTGCCTTTGCTCGTAAGCTTCAAACAGTAGGGACTGTAAGAGCTACGTGGAAAGGAAGAACCCCAGGGAGCTGGCATGCAACATGGAGCTTCACTTCTGCAGTTGCTAAGTCAGCCCTGCCACACAATCACTGCTAAGAGTGAAATACAAGATAGTTAGGGCCTGTTGGGATCCACCTGTCCCCTTGAGGATAATGTGCCTTTGCTCGTAAGGTGGCAGGACTAATTGAAAGGGCTTTAAACTGACACATCTGTGGCTGCAGAGAATTTGGTGTGGATTTAATACCCAAGTCTCACCTGTGCTCTTAGTGGTTCTTCATGGCAGGACTAATTGAAAGGGCTTTAAACTGGCACACCTGTGGCTGCAGAGAATCTGGTGTGAATTTAATACCCAAGTCTCACCTGTGCTCTTAGTGGTTCTTCATCCCAGCTTGAGGTCTGTTTCCAACAACACACAGAGTACAGTTTCAGATGAGGTGTGCTTGCTGCAGCTGCCCCATCACCCCCTCCATTCCTAAAAGATTCTTATGACTCCTCAGTGTGTCCCACTGGAGCTGAAGGGGTGGGAAGATGCAAGAAAGAAACAAATTTCTGAGTTTCAATAAACTGACTTGAGTTTGTCACAGTTAAGAGGGTTTTGAAATGTTTTTTAGTACTGCCTAATCTATCAGTAGCAACAGCACTTTCAAACTTTGAAGTTAATGCCAGGCATGTATGTCCACATTGGCATTTATATGCTGAAACAAAGAGTAAATTTGCATTTTATATTGATTTGCAGGGATCATTTTAGGTATGAACTGAAACCAATAACCAATAATTTGTAGTCAGTGGCAAAATGAATGGAAATCTTTGGTCTCTACAGAGTGCAGGAAAGCCTTAGTTGTGCATTGAATAGAATGTGTAAGTTTCTGCTGTAAAATACAGGACTTCTGAAGATGTCAAGAAAATACATGGTCAGTCAGTAGCAACAGCACTTTCAAACTTTGAAGTTAATGCCAGGCATGTATGTCCACATTGACATTTATATGCTGAAACAAAGAGTAAATTTGCATTTTAAATTGATTTGCAGGGATCATTTTAGGTATGAACTGAAACTAGTAACCAATAATTTGTACTAAGTGGCAAAATTAATGGAAATCTTTGGTCTCTACAGAGTGCAGGAAAGCCTTAGTTGTGCATTGAATAGAATGTGTAAGTTTCTGCTGTAAAATACAGGACTTCTGAAGATGTCAAGAAAATACATGGTCAAGAAATTCAAGGTGGTTTTCCCCTAAAAAACTAGAAACCAAATAAATGAGTAGAAAAGGATTTCTTCTTTTTGTTCTGTGTACAGCAGTGTATCAGTCCCCTGTGCTCACATAAGCCAATGCAAAGGATAAACAACTGTATGTAAGGTAACTTGGCAGTACTTGATATCACAACTGAAGTAAATGAGAAGTCAGTCGAGTATTTTTAGTAACAAAATTGAACTGGAACATCTATGGTAGTCCTTCAGAGTTTAGCCTCAGGCTGAACATGCATGCGGTTGTTACGAGGTTTGAAATCTCAGCTTGTTAGACTTCAATTAAGAAAAATATTCAGAGGGATCATTACTGTAACCAGTGGAGGATTGCAGTGGAATGAGGTTTGAGGCACGTATATCTGCATCACAACTGTGGGAACAGCAACTGACAGCACTAGCAAGCAAGTTAATACAGGTGATGTTTGCCAAGCTGGGCTGTGGTAGAAGTCATAGAATCATATGGGGTTGGAAGGGACCTCTGGAGATCATCTAGTCCAACCCCCTGCCAGAGGGGGTCTACCTATAGCAGGTTGCACATCAACTTGTCCAGGTGGGTTTTGAATGTCTCCAGAGAAGGAGATTCCACCACTTCTCTGGGCAGCCTGTTCCAGTTCTCCACTCTCACAGTAAAGAAGTTCCTCCTCATGTTTAGGTAGAACTTCTTATACTCAAGTTTGTGCCCATTTCCTCTTGTCCTGTCACTGGGCTCCACTGAGAAAAGACCAGCCCTGTCCTTCTGACACCCTCCCTTTAAGTATTTGTACACATTAATTAGATCTCCCCTAAGCCTTCTCTTCTCAAGACTGAAAAGAGCCAGGTCCATCAGCCTCTCCTCGTAGCAGAGATGCTCCAGGCCCTTAATCATCTTTGTGGCATTTGTGCATGTATGGAACTTGCTGAAGCACTGGGACTCTGTAGTAGTCTATCTTAGTGAGGAGCTCCTTTCCCTCCTCCTGAGAGAAACAACTGAATGCTCTGAGTATCCATCTTGATCTGATTGCAATATGTGTAGTAAGACAGGACATTTTAAGTAGATGAATAGAATTTTTGACAGGTTTGAAAAGACGTTAAATTTGTTCTGGAAGATATTGAACAGACTATAAAGCAAAACATACGGAAAGCACATCTGTTACGTGCTCTGTCTATGAATAGAAAACTCAGATGAGTTCCTGGGAATTTTAGGCAAAACAGTGGTTGCTCCTCACCCACTTAGGAAATGGGTGACAATGAAATACCCAAAGCTTGGAGATGATGGGTACTATGCAACAGTTTGCCTCCTTCTGGCCTATTAAACTGTTTGAAAGGAGTTTGGCTGTTGAATGCAAATAGAGGATGTGCAGGGTAACATGTGGCTGGGAGAAGAGACTTAATGCAAAATCCCCAGAGCATGGTTTCTAAAATGAAACAGTATGGGTTTGGTAGTGTAAGAACAGAGGAATTGCTTGCATACATATTTTAAAAATAAAAGAAAATTTTAAAATTGCAAGTCTATTAAGAGTTGTTCTGGCAAGCAGAGAAGCTAGATAAAAACAGATTGGGTTCACTGTAATGATGCTATATAAAGACACTGAGGAATGCTAGTGAAGTTGTTTTAGAAATAAAATCAATTTAAATCAACGCTATTGAAGTTGATGTGACAAAACTGCACTTGCAGGAACCTACTTGTCTTTTTTTCATGGGCCTAGGAGTTTGCCACTTCTGGTGGTTTTATGATGCACCAGCAGGTTAATATCTCATGAAACTTGAGGTGAAATAACACATTTTGTTATGTGAATAAAAATGATTCAAGAGGTTGGAGACAGTCAAATGCAAACTAGAATCACATATCAAAATGATTGTGTGTTCACAGTTGTGCAGTCAGTTCTTTCTTATTGTCTGAGTTCCAAGGTCTCTCTAATTTTGCTATTTTTGATTAGTTTGTGGTTTAAAACCCTTTACTGGTACAGGGACACGCCTCAAAGTGCTGGATAACTAAATACATTTTTTTGGTCAGTTGCTTTCCAAACTCCAAAATATTAAACTAAGATGTTTCTTGCTTTAAACAAAGTATGACCTGACTGTACCAGGTTTAGTAGCATCGAGACACTGTAAAATGAGGATCATAGAATCATAGAATGGTCTGGGCTGGAAGGGACCTCCAGAGGTCATCTAGTCCAACCTCCCCACAGTCAGCATAGGATACCAGGGTGTGATTCACAGGAATACCAGGATACCAGGGTGTGATTCACAGGAATACAGTGAGCATGTTATTTGTCAGGTCACCCCTTCCCAGAATGTCTGAAGATGAAACAACTTTGCTTACTGGTTTTATGGGGTGTTAGCTTGTAGATCAGACTTGCCTGCCTGATTAGGATTTCTACTGGCCTTCGGTATTTAGTGAAGTAAGAGTAATTTCATTAATTCGGAGAAATCCTGTGGTTTTCATCTACTTTTATTGCACAAAATTGAAAGCAACTAGTTTTCATTTTGAATTGCTCCAAAGGTTTCACATTGCTATTGTTATGTTATGGAGTTGTATACAATAAGTCAGGAAAGGAAAGCTTCAATGCTAGTATTTTTTGCACAGTGCTGTAGTCGCATGAGATCTTCAGTTTCAAAGTTAGCCTTGGCATGGTCATTGTAGACAATCTCATGATCATTTACTGGAATGGACTGTTTCTACATCGATGGACAAAAGTAATCAGGCCATAGCACAGCAGAGCTCTGCAGAAGCTGATTTACTCTGTTTCTCAGCACTGTGATGCAAAGCAGACATCAGCCTTACAAAGACTTAATGGCTTAAGATCATTAAACAACCTGATATTCAGATTAATGTAATTAGCTGGTATCAACCCCCTGCATTCTGAATGGATTTGTTTGTGCGCACTTAATACTTTTCCCCTGTTACTATTTAGTGTAAGCAATAAAGTACATGAGACTGGAAACCTATTTTGTTTTTTCTCCTGTCGCTAGAGTTCCAGAGCTGAAGGGTCACCAGGCTGGAGGTTATTTGGGGAGTCACCCTGGTAATAGGAACTTTGATAGTGTTTAGGTATTCCTTGGAGACAGGAAGGCAGGCCCCTCTCTCTCTCTCTCTCCGACTAGCATTGAGTGCTTCTGCAAATCTGTGCTACGTGTGTATAGTTTGCTGGAATTATCCTCATGGCTCTGATTTCTGAAACAGTGTATGAGAGATCTTTCAGGGTACCTCCTGTGATAACAGTAACAAAAGCAGTATATTTAAGATCACTTCTATTTCATACGTAGCCTAAGAAAACTATCAGGCATCATCTTCTTCCAGTAACAGTGTTAGCGGCCTGATTCTTTGCTTTTTCTTGTTATTAGCACGTACTAAGCCTCTCCTAGAGTAATGTGTTTCTGGGAGGAGAAAATAGAGTTCGGATAGGGCTTTCCCAAAACACTCCATTTGTGGGAAGGGCAGCCAGTCAATGGTTGTTCTTGGTAGGTGGTTGTACTTGCCACAACAATGTAGTCTGAGAAATGTGGGGTTAATAATGGCATCAGGAATTAGGTATTTTATATTGTGGCATCCACAGTGCACACAGTTTCACTCTATTTCTTGATATCTTGGTCTTGAGGTGCAGGTTCTTTAAGATCTTGAGATGATGAAACTAATTATGACTATTGACAATGACCACAGTGCAGCTATGCTTTATCGTTTTATCAGAAGGGAGGAGTCTCCTTGAGAGCAGCTGAACATGCGATCCCTTGTCAGCACCAAACCTGCTGAATTTGCCTCTCTTAAATTCTCTGCCATTCAAGGTATTTTGGAAAAGGAAGTTTTCAAAACAGTGTATGTTGCCTCTGTAAAAAAATATTATCAGAAGAAAATGTTTATAAAAAGGACCTTGATTTATGTGTCTTCCGTTGTTTTTGTTTTCTTTTTTTCTTCTCTCCCTGAAGAGGAATGAGACAGAGGAAAAACTAAAAACAATACTGAAACTTACCCGAAACACATCTCTCCATTTCTTTATTTTTTTTTTAATTTTTTTGAGACTGTCACTTATTTTGAAACTTACTTTTTGCAAGATGATACTTTTTTTTTTACATAGCTGTATTTGAGATTTCTTCTAGATGTTCTAAATAAAATCAAAGCGTTGAAAAGCTTCTGTTTCATAATGTGGCTCAGTTTATTTCTGAAAGGCTCCATGCACAATCAGATCTTAATATTCTTTGGAAGGTATAACGGGTTACAAGGACACATACCTGAAGATATGTGTTTGCAAGAACTAGTGAAAAACTTCCTGTATAGATTTCATGTGTAGAATCCAGAGCTTTTATTGTCTGTAGCTGGTAATATTCAATTGAGGCACCTTAATATATGTCTTCTTGCACTTGTTAGCATAATGTCAAACCTTCCCTGAGGGCAACATTTGCTTTTCAGCAAAACCCACTTGATTTTTTTTTTTTTTTCTGGAAAAAGCATGTCAATAGACTACTGGGGGAATTCAGTGAAATCTCTCATAAGTTTGTATCTTATTAGCATGGATTGGTTGGAAGATCTTTGGAACGGACTGTTTTGCTGTTTCTAATTCCAGACAATGTGTAATCTGTTGCTGTCCTGCTTTATAGTGAAAGCTCCTGGGTTTGGTCATAATAGAGATAATACCTAATTGGTTACTAATTTTTCACTTCATTAGAATGAGCATTAAATGATTTGCTTGCATTTTCAGAGTATATTTATTATTTGGGTTGTTAATAAAAGTCAAATATTAGGCACATAGTCTACCTTTCTAGCTTTTTCCTAGTTGTTGTTTAATGTCAGCCATAGCAATCTATGCTGTGTGCTCTCTGATATGGACAGATGATACTCTTTATGTAAGGAGTTAAAGAAATCTAATTCATCCACAGAAAGTCTTCTCTTCATATGTGTTTCCCAAAAAAAAGTCTCTGAAAGGTGGCCTGTCTGCCAAGCAGAATCCATCCCATGCTCATAAAAAGTGTAAATAGAGCTATGAATGCCTGCCATGAATCAGATGGGATTTGGGCTGGAGAAAAGTACAGGATTAGTTAGAATTACAAAGTTATGTGCTGCACGTTTTTAAAGAACAGTCCCTTGTAAAAGATGAGTGAATGTGTTTTCTTCTGAAAATCTGGCTGTGTAACTTTAAGGCCTGAAGTCACCTCGTTTCTCAGAGTGGTTTCACTATAGTGCAGGCTGCTGTCAGAAAGAGCCCTTGGGGATGAATGAGCAGAAAGAACCCACTAATACTCTGAAAAATAAAATGGCAACCGCTGATGTATCTGTAGGTTAAATGTGTTGTTGTTTCCCTGGGGCTTTGAAGTTAGCTATTAATCCAGTTTGTTTTGGCATCTTTGGCATTCAGTCTTTTTGTAGATTAGTATGTTCTGGATGGACGCATCAGCACTGGGGCAAAAATCTCAGAGAAACAGATAAAAGGTTGTATTAGAAATTCTCTGAGTGACAGTAGCTCTGCTTATTAATCAAGTATATTTTAAAAAACAAAAATTAAGGAAAAATCAATGGCTTATGAGTCTAGTGTAAAACAATATTGTCTTCCTTGCCCTGTAACATGCAGCAAGTGTTTGGTGGAATAACTGGAATGCATTTCCAAACTGGGATATATTGAATGCAATTATTATACATTATACAGTGAGTTAGGCATAATAAGGGCCCTTAAGTAATGATTTTTCTTCCCTAAAGTACAGCTAGACATGAATGAAAATGTCAAATGTCTTTCATGTGAAAGAAATTGAGCCACAAATAAGGCTTTTTTTTTACCTCTGCTGTTCCAGTGTTGCCAGATGGATAGTCTCGTTTCTTAAGATCCTCTTGGGGTGCACAAAGTGTAATGGCCTTATGGCTTTTCATGATGTTGGGCTGTCAGTGATAGATGCGACTCTCTGAAAAACTTATGGCTCCCAGAGTCGCAATGTGTTTTTCCATCTTCTGCATCTCCTCAGTGGCCGAGAAGACCAAAGAGCAAGTGTCTAATGTTGGAGGAGCTGTGGTGACAGGAGTGACGGCGGTGGCCCAGAAGACAGTGGAAGGAGCAGGGAACATTGCTGCAGCCACAGGCTTGGTGAAGAAGGATCAGTTGGCCAAACAGGTTTGTTTATTTAAGTCTTTTCCAGATGAAGAGATGAACAATGGGTGGCCTCCCTGAACTGAGGGGCAGATGGAGTGTTTTCTTTTGTGTCTGTCAGTGGTATGAATGCAGGATGATTTGTGTTATGCTACACAAATGAACAGTAAAGAAAATATCTGTTGTTTGTAGCTTGTATTTTGAGTGACCTTCGGGATTTGGGAACTTGAGTAGGATTGGACATCTAGTTTTACTGTTCTGAAAAGTCTAAGCAAATTTGGTTTGCTGTTTCATGTGTGATCTAGTAGTGATTCTGAAGTCAGCAGCCTTTAGTGGGAGGGGCCAGCGGCTGTAGGATGTACAGTTGAAGGGGAAGATAACTATTTTTCCAAATAACTGAGGATTGAAAAGTAGCCTGCTAGACCTGAAAACGGTGAATCTCCGGTTTAACAGCACAATCTGTATCCTCTGCAGATGAAGAGCAGAAGGGATCATGTACCAATCCACTGACTGGTTAGATACATTGCGTTTAACAACATCTAGCTGGAGTGTTGCTATCTTCCTTGAATATAGTGACATGAACTCAAAAATGACTCCGAACTGCTCTGAACTCATTGGATTAAATTTTCTTAAACTCTTACTATAAAACACCCTATAGATATTTTCATTTCAGCACCAAGGTGAACATTAAGTATTTGTACAATACCAAGAGTTACTACACTTTCTTTGCTGATCCGCTGTGGTCATTTTCTTCCACTTATGGTAGGTGAAAAGTGACCCCAGATAGCTGGTGGGAATTATGCTTTCCAAAATGTGTTGTTTGGACACAAAAATAACCCAGAAAAGACAAATGCCTCCTTTTGTTCTGTTCTTTGTATGAACATTTAAGTGTTAGGAAAAACATAAGATTATGAAGAATATTAGTGTTTGCACAAAAATATGGGGTTTATATGGATTCAGCACGAAGAAGTTCTACAATGTGTCTTATTTCCAATGAGTGTCTAGAGGAGCTGTTAACATTGAATACTTAAGCTCTTTTTTTATCCTCATTGAAGTGCATTCCTGTCTGTCTGACAAACCTTATTGGTGCTTTGGTTTGGGAGGGGGAAGGGGTATGACGTTGTGGTGGGCATTCACTCCACTGCGGTGGATTGGTCTTGAAAAAATCTCACAAACAGTTTTGTTCTCTTTTAAAGCAATTTTCCTGGGGGAGGCTTTTTAGTCCTTTTTTGTTCAGCGACAAGTAAAATGTTGCTTTTGTTGTCTCTGTGGTCCTGTGTAAAAGCTATGTTGGAGATTTACAAAATCAAGTATCTAACAAACTGCCAGGGGATACAGGAGTATGGCATGGCCACAGTAGTCTATACCCTTAGCTTCTGATAAAGCTCTTTCGTAGTTTTATGCTAAGAATATTCTTTTCTGTTCGTAGGTCTTTGAACCCTTTACTCAGTGTCATAAGGATCATCATTGCTGTAATACACAGTTGTGTACTTTAGAATGGACAATACCTAATATCTTTTTATCTTAATATATACATGTAGATCCCTATAATTATAAGCTAGGAAGCAAATCTCTGCTGACGTTCATTTAATTCTGTTCTGTATATTGTAAAGCTTAAATATGAGTCATGATGGCTGTATCAGAATAAAATCACATCTGTGGAATTAAAGAACATCCATAATGTACATGCATGTTATTCCACAGCTCTATAAATAGCGTAATTATTCTGAATTGGTGCTTTGTTCTTTAGACACGCAAAACCATTCATTTCATTCTTGATACTGGTATTTTTAGACTGAGATTCTCAGCCATGTATGCAGCGTGGCCATCGAGCTGATTAGTATCTATAGCTCTTAATGGACTGTTCTGCATCTCTGTCTCTTACTGGTTTTGCAAGGGATAAGTAGCCATTTCAGGAATGTTAACATCAAAATTCAGTCATGTGAAAATACTCTACAACCTAGTATTTCTGCCTTCCTCTGAAGTTCAGAGGTATGTGAGATTGATATATTTTTTTTTTTTGCTTGGATTTTCCAGGTAAACTGACAGTTGGATGGTGACCAAATGTGGGCATTCAGAATACCAGTGGGACACAGGTCCCTTGTAGGAAACGGGGTGGGCCTTTCTGAAATAAGAGAAGGTACCAACCAGACATACAATCAAAATATCAATGTAACTTGGTGGTTTCTATGTCTATAAGGTTATGTCTCTTAAGCATATGATACCTCTAGTGTACTCTAAACCAGGAATAAGAGACTACAACTAGCAAATTCATAGCTTGAGCTTGAGCAGGGGTAGTAGTGCCTTTGGCAGATTATTCTTCCTATAGACATCTATTTGGAATTGTCCTAAAGCAAATAGCTACGTGTCCTATGTGCAAGATGAACACTTAACTTGCTTACACAGTTTAAGCAAGTCATGGAATTTGACAGGGAATTGCAAATCAAGCTTATCCGTTAAAAAATGAAAAGAAGCATGATTAGTGACTGTTTCTCCACAGAACACTAAAAGGCATTAGCTGATAATCCATTATTTTAGTTGGCTTCTAAACTTGTAACAAATAATTTCTTCCAGTTCACATGGACCTGTGTAATCAAGTCCAAATCCTTCACCTGAACATAGTAAACAGTGTCCTTCTGAGGCCCCTGCCAACCCAAATTATTCTGTGAACTGCTACAAACTCGGCCTCCATGCAACTGGAGGAGTTTGCTTATTTGCTATCAATTACAGAGTTGGGGACTGTGAAATAAATATGATCAGCTGCTTTCAAACATGTGTCTGGAAGCCTATCTAAACTAATGGCCATTGCTGGGATTTGCCACTAGTGATCTGCTCACCTGTGTGAGACCTGGTAGTCTTGTGAGGTGACTGGCATTTTTTTTGTGCCATGATGGAAATCTGGTTTTGACTTTCAACTCAACGAAAACAGCCATAGCATTCCTTTAACTGTGGATGCACCAATATCCAGGCTGGATGGGGCTTTGAGCAACCTGGTCTAGTGGAAGGTATCCCTGACTGTGGCAGGGGGGTTGGAACTAGATGGTCTTTAAGATCCCTTCAAACTCTAACCATTCTGTGATTCTATAATATTAATGCAAAGGAAATACTAAGCAGATTCTTGGCAAAATGCCTTCTCAAGAAGTTTGTCCGAGGTTGCCTGGTGCTGCTTCTAATACTAGAGTGCTTTGGACCATGAAGAACAGGTTTAACCACCCACTTGAGGCCAGGCTGGAGGGCTGGTGTCACACCACAGTGTCACTTAACCACCCCGTAGCCAGTGTAAGTGGGCAGTGCAAAGTGACAGCTGAGACTAGTGAGGGACAGGGCTGACGTGATAGTGCCCGTCGGAGGACTGCCTGGGGGATTTACAGTTTGGCAGAAGCTCACTGCTTAACGCCGAAAGGGAAGTGGCAGCTAGTAGCCTTGTATTCATTTTAAAAGGGTTAACATACTGCAAGTAGCATTTTAATAAGTGACAAAACAATTCTTAAGATTATTTAGAGTCCGAAAGTTCTTTCATGCCTTGCCAGCATGCATCTACTCAAAAATTATTTCTAATGCACACTAGCATTTAGCATAGAGCCTATTAAAAATGGATTAACTTTTTATAAACTAGTTGTAAATTTGAGCCTAAAATCTGCCCATAATAATGCTGTTATTTGTGATCAGTGGGACTCTTCCTGGAAGCAGAAAAGAAGTTGCTTCTTTTTATCATGCTTTCTTCTCTCTGTTAAGAGAAGATGATAAACTGAAGTACTGGGTTAATAGATAAAACCTTTATTTTATATTTATTCTGCGCCTTTGCATGTTTTATTTCTGTGTACAGTGTGAGTGTGCTTCTAAATTACTCAAAAAAAGGCATGATTAGTGATAATTACGTGTACTGCAGAAATGAACTTGTTGTTTTTTTTTAACTTAAGAAAGCTGTGAAATCCTTTGAATATTCTTTTTTCAGCTCAGCATGAGCATATAGATCTAGATAGTATGGAGGGCTACTAGCTAGTGGATACCTGGTGTATAGTATTGCCCGAGGACAAAATATGGATTATAAAGTTTATTTTTTTCAGATAGGTAATTAACTAATTGAAGTTCTTAACATCACTAAATTGATATCATTTAGTTCTCTCACATCTCAAGAATAAATCTGTTGGTAAGTTCTATGATTTTTATGGTGAATAACTATCTATATTGTTCTAGCAATAAAATTCCCAGTTGAGCTGAAACCTCAAGGTACTTTGAGTACCTTGCAAAGACTTTCTGTTCTGTAGATCTTACTGAAGGAAATAGAACAACAGGCCTTGTCCTTACCATGCTTAGCATCTATATGAGTCGTGTTTGATATCTATATGTGCTAAATCCTTTTTCTTTCTGGAGTATCTCTTAATTTAACATATTTACAGTAAATAGCACCGTAAACACAAATGTAAAATTACAGTAGCAGATAACATAGTATACTGTCGTGGTTTAACCCCAGCCAGCAACTAAGCATGGAGCTGCTTGATTGCTTGCCTCCCAGTGGGATGGGGGAGAAAATCAGAAGAGTAAAAGTAAGAAAACTCATGGGTTGAGATAAAGGCAGTTTAAAGCAAAAGCCACACACCTGAGCAAAACAAAACAAAGAACTTATTCACTACTTCTCCTTGGCAGGCAGGTGTTCAGCCATCTCCAGGAAGGCAGGGCTCCATCATGTGTAATGGTTACTTGGGAAGATAAAATGCCCTCACTCCAAATGTCCTCCTTCCTTCTTCCCCCAGCTGTATATGTTGAGCATGATGTCATATGGTATGGAATATCCTTTTGATGAACTGGGTCTCCTGTCCCAGTTGTGTCCTCTCCCAGCTTCTTGTGTACCCCTGGCCTACTCATGGGTGGGTTGCGGTGAGGAGGAGAAGAGGCCTTGAGTCTGTCGAAGTGCTGCTCAGTGGTAACTAAAGCATTCTGGTATCATCAACACTGTTTTCAGCAGAAGGCAAAATACAGTCCCATACTAGCTACTGTGAAGAAAATTAACTCTACCCCACCCA